GAGCAGCCTTTTTATTAGGTCCAGATGTTGTGTTCTGCCCCGGGGCCATGCTGGGAAGTAAAGCAAAGTGTGTTAATGTTGGCTGGAAGAGCCTCTTTGGAAACAGGCTCGAAGGAAGCGGGGTTTCTCCTGCGCCCCTATTTCCCGGGGTCCGGGGCAGATGGGCCAGCATGGAGGCACAGGCATGGGCGAGGGGGTCACCCTGCTGCTGAGCACCCCTCTTCCCTTTGCTCGCCAAGACTCTCCCAACAGTGAATACGGCTTTACCCAGCCACCCACTTCTCCAGGGCTCTTGGGTACCTGCTGTCCCCTGGTCAGTGGCTGCTGTCCCCAAGCTGATGGCTCCCACGGGGATAGTCATCCCCATCGCCGAGCTGACGGTCCCTTCTGGGCCGATTTGCTGTTGGGTTTTGTACTGAGACGTGGAGATGGAGGACTCTGTGTAAGGGGCAAGGCTGCTCTCCAGATGTTATTTTTCACCATTAGGCAGTGTTTAAATATATATGTGATTTCCACACCCCCCTCTTTCTGAGTGCATATAGAGGAGAGACCTCTGGAGGGGTGAGCATCAGGGGAGGGGCTGGGTGGGGGAGGGCAGCAGGACCTTCCCCCAACTCAGCTGCTCCTCTGTAGATGAAGCTTTTCCAGAAAGTGCTGAGCTGGGCGCTTTGCAGCCAGTTCTGCTGGGCTGCGGCGCAGCGTAGCGCGGCCGGCTAATGGAGCTGGGCTCCGACGGGTCCCCACGATCCGGTGCCAAGCCTGGAGGCCTCTGAAACACGTGGCTCATTAACAGTGTGCTTCAGCTATGGCTGGGGCTTGCACAGAGGGCTGGTGCTGCCAAAACATTTACAAGTCCTGGAGGACTCGGAAAGGGCCCAAGCTGCAAAGTTCAAGGGCAGACCCGGAGGCAGAGCAGTGCCGTGCTTAGCAAAGTACCCCAAGCCTCAAGTGCTGCTCCGCCATTCCCTGCTCCACTCCACCTTCACTTCACTCTGATAACAGGCTCCGGCTAGAGCTGTAAGGATGCTCACTCCTCTCCCAGACACTAGCTAGGGATCTGCATGGCTCTGGGTACTATCTCCTCTGGTTTGATCTATATTCCAGAGTAAAGCCTGTGCTCAACCAGCCAAGGATGCTCTAAGAGGGCTGAGATGCTGCTATCCCCTAAAGCCTCACTAGAAGCTGGACCTGAAGCTAAAACCCCGGCTCTGCACCCCCAAGGCCATCCTACTTGGCCACCACAGGTCGGTAAGTCCTTGACGTGATGTGCACCACAGGCACTGGGGATTTAAAGCCATCCCCTGTGTCGGGCGGCGAGCTGTGCTCTTCAGCAGCTAAAATGAATGTCCTGGGAGTGTAGGCATTAAAAAAACCCCACCCTGTCAGAAGCACAGCAAAAACCCATCTGTGAGTGGAAGACGTCAAAGAAGAATACAAAGGCTTTTATTTCCTGAGGCATTTTTCAGTGAGACAAACGTGGATTTTTTAAAATTTGCTGCATTTTCCTAGCTGGCCTCCCACACAAATGCCAAATGGACTTTCACTAGCATGAAGCCGGATGTTGGTTTGTGTCTTTGTGATCCAGTGCTCGAGGACTGAGACGAGGAATTGGTTGGGTCACTGCTTATTATCAGTAAGTGGGGCATATTTAAAGGAAATGGGCAGATTTCAACAGTACATCTATAACTAGTTTATTGCTGGCGTGTTCCTCTCTCACCCTTATTATTTATGTTGAAAATGATAAATGAGGGATTGACGGTTCTAGCTGGTTTATGAATAATCAGGTTATTTCACTCTGAAGCCCCAGGGGAAGGTAATGTTTCTACAATCCTCCATCAAAGAGAATGCAGTTTGCCCTCGTGTGCGTGTTGCTCATTCCTCCAGCGCTTCGCACTTGGCGGGTTTTCACAAGCGTGCGTGTCCCCACTCCCCCCACGGCACAGCCCAGTGCCCACACAGGTTTCCTGGTCTGTGCAGCCTCTCGGCATCACCACCCACCGCCACGCACGGGGTGTTTGGAGCAGTTTGCTCTCCAGTGCAGGAGGTGATGGGCGTCTTGGTGGCCTGTGATGGGAGGCTGCATGGGCAGAGTGCAAGCCAGGTGCTCTGGGGAGGTGCACGGAGGGCCCCAGCCGCAGCAGTCAGCTTGGAAGAAGCCCTGATCCCGTTTGTATTTCAAGGAGCTGCAAATAGCCGCTGGTCTCAGGATTTGCTTGTGAGACAGGAAAAGCCCTGGGGAGATGATCTGAATGTTTATGTATATAGAAATATCTAATCACCGGGCTCAGAACAGGCTCAGGAAGGGAATCTGGAGGTGGTTAGCTGGAGAAGAGGATATTTTTATGCTAGAAATGTGCTGTCCGCCTGTTTGCAGGGTAGGAAGGATACGATGAGAATCAAAGGCTTGGCAGGATGAGCGTTTTCATCCTCGTAGATGTGAACTCCCTGTCTGTCTTGGGCTCTGAGGCGTGGAACTGGTTAGATCCAATATCGTTATTAGAAGCAGAAAACAGAGCTCATAAAACTCCCTTCTTACGCCCCAAAAAAAGCAATTCCAGGACCCTCTATCCTACTCATGAACAAGCCATTCCTGCATTAATTTCCCACTGTGGTTGGGCACGTGTCCAGGGGAAGGGGACACGGAGCTTCAGCAGAAGCTGTGCAGCCCTGGGGCAGGTCCTTGCTCCTCTCTGGTGTAACCAGGCCAGGGGATTCAGAAACAGGCAGGAGAGCTGGGGATGGTTCATGTGGCAGCAAACCCAGGTGGCCAAGCCCCATCTTCCAGGCCACAGGGCAGCTGCAGAAGCTGCATCTGCAGTGGGAATTGCTCCCCCAGGCAGTGAGCTGAAAATCAGCACGAGGTGCATTTCTTCCCTGGCTGAGCAGACTGTGGAGGGCAGTTGGAAGCGCCAGCCGGGGAAGCCACCATCCCACCACCAGACCGAGCACCCTAGAACCTCAGTTGCTGAAGCTAAGGAGCCCCCTGAGGCACTGAACCTGCATCACGGGGCAGGAGGAGGTCACAGAGCTGCTGCTAGAGCATCTCGGGTGGGTTCGGTCACCCTGGGACGGCTGCTCTGGGGGGTCGCTGTGGGGGCACAGGGTCACCTGCTCTGGGGACGGAGGGACCTTGAGGCACATCTGCTGTGACAGGCTCCCACCCCATGTCTGCTCCACACTGGGGTGGCCTAAGTGACAGTTCAGCGTCCTGTGCCGGAGGAGATGCAGTTTGTGCAGGTGGCCGCGATATACGTCAATCCAGGCATGCTGGTGGTGGTTCCCTCACACGTGCACAGGTTTGTGTCATCTTTGAGGACAATACAACTTCCCCGCTGCTTGGCATTGCCTAGGTCTTCCAAAGACACTTCTGCAGGCTGTGACATTGCCAACTGCTGAGCATAAGGATCAGAGACCAAGCTGAAGGTCATGAACGTGGTGGTTTCAAGCTGATGGCTTGGCAGCGGGGGGAAGTTTTTTACTGTGCCAGTATCAGGTAAGGTTCTTCCTCGGTCAAATCCCTCTGTTGTTTGTTGACTGTACATAGCTGTGGAATGAAATCTGATAAAGGCATCTGTTGTTCCCTCATAGCTCTGCTCTGTTGAGTGGAATGGGGATCTCAGCATGCAGGATTTTATTATTATTTCATTTGTAGCTGCCCATTATCAGCAACTTCTTTTAGGTGAGGCTTTTGGCATTTTACACACAGCATTCTTGCTGTCTGTAAAACCAGCCTAAACCCTTCCTTCTGTTCATAAAGGCGTCTAGTCTAAATTCAAAGTCCATCCATTATAACTTCAGCACCTTGTAATCCTTCAGAGATATGTGCAATTACTCTCTGAAATATCCCAGGAGCAAAACTAATACCAAGCATCATCTGCTTAAATTTACAACATCCAAATGGCACAGTAAAAGCCACTAGCTTAGGGGTTAGCTCATCTGAGTGCACTTGCCAAAACACATATCCTGCATCTAATACTGCTTTTGCCGCTGAGGATTTAGCTGCCACCCCAGGAATCTTTATTGGACGGCATTCACGTTTTATGGTTTTATTTAAATAACAGGAGCGGTTGCACATGTCCTTCATCTGGCAGTTGGGTTTCAACCATTGAACTCGCCTCAGTCCGTACTTCCCCTGCCTTCTCCACATTGCTGTGTTTCCTCGGGTGCTTGAGCGTGAGTGTGTCTCCCATCCTTCACCCTAGGAGCAGTTCAGCCATGATTTGTGTCAGAAAGTTTGGGATGAGGACATGGGCACTTCCCATGCACCTGAAGCAAGACTCTTGCTTAACATGGCTCTCCTTCTCCTTTCCATTCCTTAGAGTTTAACAGCTGTTTTCGTCCAAGCCTATTGACTTCATCCCTATAAATCCAATGTGATTTTTCCATAAGGATTAGTGTCAGATTCTCCCTGCAGACATCTTAGGTCTTGGAAGACAGCTGAGTGCTCTACTAATATCTGGCTGGTGAGCCTGAGGCAGTTACAGCAATGGCTTTAAAATGCACCTCATGGCTAGGCAGGGGCTTAGCCCTGATGCAACCCATCTGCCTTCACCATTTGGCAAGCCAGGACGTAGCAGGGGTCCTGATACTGTACTATGATGTGGATACCTGGATACAAAATAAGCATTATGTTGGTTCTTCCTGCCCTTGAAGGCCATGGAAAACCTAAGAGAGGACTTATCTAGCTTGAACACCAGAACTTCAATGGTAAAACCGCCAACCCCAGTGAAATCTTGAAAAGTAAAACTACCTCTGCAGGAACTGAGTTTTGTGCCCTCTGCTATTTTAACTTTCCCTGGGCATATGTGACAGAGCAGGTTTCACAGATCACAGCACTGGCTGGCTGAGCCCACAGGCTCCTGACCGTGGGGAGCTGGGCTGAAATCACGGGCAGGGGAGGGAACACCAGAAACATTCCCTTGGTATGGGACGGTAAAGGGGCATTAGCACCATGTAAATGGATAAGGAAGAGGAAAGAAACTCCAGATACATCAGCATGACAGTTTGAGCATTTTATTACGATATATAAATTCTGTCTTCTTAAATTACTCTCTATGAGTTCAACAGAAAGGGGTTATTGTGGAAGGGGGGAATATACAAAAATAAAAGGATATTGTGAACTACTGCATCACCACATATACAACAGTAAAGTACTTTACAAGCACTTAGAGAATCAGACTTACAAAAATAAAAATATGACACATCCTTATGCATTTCCATCAGCTATATGTTCTTCTTCCTTCTCTAACCTTCAAACACCTTTCAACCCCATCTTCAGGTCACAATTCATGCAGTAGGATACTTTGCTCATTTCGATGGCCATCACAGTATCTGAAAAAAAAAAATAGTGCCTCCCAAGACTTATAAAATACAATGGTTATAGGAGAACTTCAGGGGAGATGCTCAGGACAGATCAATTTGTGAGTGACGGGGTGATCCTCAGGGAGCAGACTTTATCTGCCAATAGAAATTTTAATATCCCACAACAAGATCCATCATTCCCTAGAAAGTGTTCCCCCATCTCTGCAGAGGCACAGCTCTCTGTGTGTGATACACACAGTCCCCTGCAAGCCTGGGGAATGCTGATGCTCATAGACGTCAGTGGGACTGAAGGACTGACAGAAGATGGATCTGATTTTGTTTCAGCATTAAAGAAGGCAAGGATGCCCTTCCCTACAGGAAAAAAAAAGGAGGTTAAAACCACAATGGCTAAATATCCTAGCTCACAGTGTTCACACACAAAACCATTCACCTCTAGACCAGATTCACTCAGCCTTTAGTCTTCAGGTTGATCTACAAAGTCTTTTTGCTCATTAGCCTTCTAGTGACCTTTCCCTTTTTTTTTTAAGACACACTCAACATAAATAGTAAATAGCATTCACTTCTCTGACCAGCAGCTCACTCAAACACTGCTATCAACACCCAAACCTCATGTCCTCATTCCCCGAAAGTATGCACCTAGGGTGCATATTTGTCTGTATTTCACATTGAGAAAAGTAGAGCTGGCTTAGAACAAAAACAACAACAACAACAACAAAAAAGACAAAAGAAGCAGTAAACTGTTTTGGTCTAAGTTTTCCTTCTGCGGTTTGTGCAAAGTACTCCGCAGATTCTGAAAGTTCAATATTATTTAGGGTTCCCTCTTTTTGGCCCCAAATGCAGTGACAGCGATGCAGAGACCAGACACAAGCATGCTCTCTTGCACTCAGGGGCAAAACAATCACAGGAAGGAAGGGGATGAAGAGCAAACCCCACACCTTTGAGACAGTGACCTTCCATACTGAAAAAAACCCAACTTTTCCCCCAAAGAAACAGATGCCTTCTGGAAAGGTTCGTATCTCAAAAATAACTACTGACAGAAAACAATTCCTAAAGGCAGAGTCTGACTTTACCCATCAGGCTTACAGGACTGTGGGCAACAGGCACAGTTGGATCCTGGGGAGAAATTGTGTAGCCACAGTCCCAGCTGCTCAAGGAAACTCACCTTTTCTAAGCAGAATTTCCATGGTCTGAATTTATCATTTGTATCTTTGAGAAAATATACATGAACAAAGATCTGTTGGTTGAGATTAATAATGGTCCATTTAAAAGGAAAAAAACCTCTCTAGTGGGACTAATGGTTCCTTTTAGATGCACAACATACTACAGGTAAGGCACTTCTTGGCTGCTCAGAGAGATTCTTAATTGGCAACACATACAGACAAAATTCAGTTTCTGGTGTTTAAGCCAAACAAAAAACCTCATCCCTTTTCCCAGTCATAAGCAAGATGAACTTTGGCTCTTCTACCACCGCCTAACCCAGCCACAGAGATAGGAGCGACAGGGACAGAGGGTGGGATCTGCACCCAGGCAAGCGTGAAGACCTGACCCTCTGTGGTTTTCTTCTTCTCAGGAAAAACCAAGTCCCTTTCCAATGCCAGCTTTCACTGAGAAAAAAAGCAGCTTGTGATGGGCTCATGGGAGACACCGTATAAGAAGGTATTTTTCAAAAATTTCCACAGATCTCAGGCACTTGGCAATGTCACAGCTTGGATGTGGTCCAGGGTGGTAGCCCACCACGGCCTGTCCATGGCTACACAGCTCAGTGTGTTCAGCAGCCGAGAAACCCAAGCTGCTCTCTGGTTTGTTTTTTTCCTGATGTGGCAAAACCAGAAAAGCTGCTTAAGCTCAAAGGAGCGGGAGCATGTTAGGTCATTTCTAGTCTATTTGCAGAGAAAACAAAGCACGAAGCTTCAAAGAGGCCTGGCCTGGATGTGTGGGGACCCTACAGTGCCAAGGACGCAGTCCTCCTCTGCACCCTCCTGGGGGTCACAGCCACCTGTGAGACCTTCTGCCTTCGCAGCCCCCGGCCCTGCGTGGTGAAAGACCAGGCCGTGGTTCAGATCTCTCCACTGGATTTGTATTTGCACACTAGTTTTCTGGCTTTCTTTGAATTCTTTTTTTCTGTTGCGGCCAATGTTTAGGAAGCAGAACTAACAGCGGACAAAGGGGGCAGAAGCCTGCAGCTGGCCATCATAAAAGAGATTTTTCTGGGGAAAACCTGCTCTGCTCAAAAACCAGCGTGATCAAAACCTGCAGGTTTGTGCTTGGAGCAGGGGAATAGTCCAACTGTCAACAGGACAAAAGCCTGATGTATGCTCAGAATAGGGGGTCTCTGACATCCCTTGGGTTTGGAGGTCAGCCTGTGTCCATGCCTGCTCGGTGGAGGTGCCTGCAATCTAATCTGTCACCATGCAGGGATCTCCCTGGGTATGAGTATTGGCCCTGCTTTTGCCCCTGGATTACACTGCTGCTCAGCTTGGAAACCTACCTACCCTTTGCTACAGACTCCCACGGGTGCCTGGAAAGAGCCCTCTAGAGCCTCCACGACATGCCCAGGAAGGCAGATGAGTATTTCCACTGCTCACAGGCTCGCTGCCCAGCACGTGGAGAAACAGGACAGACCTCATGGTGAGCTAGCAAGCGTGTGCATCACCAACTTGCATCACACTGGGCCCACAGTCATCCCAGCTGCAACTGCCCTGCTGCCTAAGCTGGCTCCGCAGCACTCAAGTTTGCTGGAGCTCTGGGGAGAAGGGTTGCTGCAGGCATAGAATAATCCTTTTGGAGGCAGACACTGCTCTTCAGGCTGTGATGCTGACAGTCAGTGACAGCAAAATCTGACCAATAACAAATATAATCCTTGTTTCTGTGTTGCTGAAAAGAATTCAACAGTAGGTGGAAGCCTTGGAAATCCTTTGAGAGGTTTCTCCCTACCGAGTCCTAACTCCCCAACAGAGAGGCAGAGTTCACCACTGCCACAGCACACATCTTTCACTATTAATGATGATACAGCTGTCAGAATTTAAGTTTGTATATGAAGATCTTATATTTACCTCTGGTAGAAAAATTGTGCTTCATTTCAAACAAGAAAACTCTGTTTCATAAAGGTCACACTTCTGGTTACATTTACCAATTGCCTTTTGAAACTGATGGAAAAAGTATCTTTAGAAGTCACTACTTAATTTTAGAATTTTAAGTTTTTCAGATGGTTTTTTTTTTTTTAAATCTCTGTGGGTTTGTGCGTCAACTGTTCTGGGCAATCAGCTACGTCTTGTTGACATTGTTAACAGGTTTTCTGACTTGGCTGCTCAGTTATGTTCTGAAATAACTCGATCAGACTTGCAGCAAGTTAGGAACAAAATGTAAAGTTTAGAAGAGGGAAAGCTGGAAATTAATTTCTGGAGCTGTGTGGAGATTTTCTCAGTCTGGGTTCTTCTGAGCAGCATGCCAAAATTCTTGGTAAGATTTTTGGAGACGACTCCATGCCATTTACAAAGGTTTTATGTTTGTGGGAATCCAAGCTCTTGCAGATTTTCAGCGAGCTACTAAAGCAAAGAAGTACTGGGAGATACAATTCACGAGTGGGGAAGGGTTTACCTTAGGATTAGTGACGCCTGCTTTCAGTATTTCTTGATCCTTTTGCAGAGAGCTCGTTTGAGAAGTACCTGCTGAATCACTACAGCCTGGCTGATTAAGGAAAACCTGGATGGATTTGGGCTCTTCAAAACTTCAAGCTCTACACTGAGAAAGTTTGGCTGCTTCTCCACAGTCAGCAAAGCTGTCCATGCCACAGGTATGGAAACTATTGAGAGGGTGAGTAACCCTGCTCGTGATTTAACCCTACACTGGCTTCTTTGAAGCTACATAGCATCTTCCTGTTCTACGCTCCTCTCTGCAATATGGCCATACCCTGAAACTCAAAAGGGCTGTAAGGGCGTAATGATCCCTGTAAATTGGGTTTTCAAGACAGTGAGGAGCATGGCACACTTGGACTGACAGTACTTTTGAAAAAAGGGCACTGGGCTCCTGATTCACTTGGACACTTTCAGGAAACAGCCCTTCAGCTATTCAGTTTCCTCAGTCTCCCCTGCATACTCTTGGCAGGGCTCACAAGAGGAGGTGGCTGTGTGTCAGGGTAGGCCCTTCTCCCATCTCCTGCTTGTGCTGTGCCTTGCTATGGCATAAACACCTAGCTGCTAGCAAGAGCACCATACACCTGTTTTCTTCCTCTTTTTCTTGGTGACAGTCCCCACTCCTCCCAGTAAGTTAGGCCTGAGGTTACTGCAGTGGTGTAATCCTGCAGCTATCTCCCAGATGAGCTGCTGGAGCAAGCTGTGATGTATTGATACAGATAACTGCCTTCTCTGAATTTAATCTCTAAGGGACCTGGCTTGAGGTATGCTGGGCAGACTGGGCGCTGACTCTGCAGCTGATGTTCCCTTTGCAGAGATCAAAAGAGCTCTGAAGGTTACAGGGAGTCTCACCTACGTGCTAGACAAGACCTACAGAGCTTACAATGCAGCACTCTGCTATGGGTAATAGGGTCCTTTGTCATCTTGATTTCATCTAAACACAAGTCAAAAATAGATATGCTTGGAATAAAATAAAATCCAGATCGTGAATGTCAGGAACGTTGCAAAATACAAGCCAGCCTCTCATTGATCAAAACCATCCCATGCCCTGCAAGCCTCCTCCCAGCCAGTTCAGCCTCACCCAAGATGACATGTTCTTCAGCCATTAATATTCAGTCGCCATCAATGAAGGCCCAGCCAGAGACCCAGCAAAGGCCACAGCCTCCCTGAGGTCACAAGGTTGCCAGCGGCAGGGCACATCAGAGGGTCTCACTGTAGATGACGCACGGGCTGGTTTCCTCACAGAGTTCCAGCTGCACGCTGGAAGCAAACCAACGCTTGGCACAACCCAAGCTGTAGTTGAGGGTGGTCCGGTAAATGTTCTTGGCATGCTTAGGAAAAATGATGGTCGTGCTCTGAAACCTCAGTGGCTTCTGGCGGGGCTCAAAGATCAGCTGGGACTTGTAGTTCCGCCAGGTGCAATTGGGAGCAGCAATGACTGTCTCGCTGTAGGTGGTGACGGTGGGGATGGGGCCGTAGAAGATGTCATCCCGATAATGCTTCTCGGAGTCGTACTTCACCTCAGAATTGCACCTACAGAGGACAGCAAGGTATCAGCAACACAGCCCAGGCAGCAAAGGAGAGAAGATAGGCAGGACTCTTCTCTAAGCCTTTGGACCTGCCAACATTTATGACCTCTTACTGCACAGACACTGGGGCAGCTGCCAAGCCCACAAGCCAAAGCGGAGGGCCAAGAGGACTCCTTCCTGCTGGTGAATCTTGGTGGAACCACACCTTGCTGTGAATCCATCTCAGCGTTTCTGCAGTGCATGTGCACAGAGGACCAAGCCTGTCTAGTCATGCCAGGGCAGAATAGACCTTGTTGCACAGGCTCCAGTCAACATGCTGCTGCTTCTGGTTTCCTCCATGGGCCCTCCTGGGGCCTCAGCTCAGCCCTGAGAGCTACACTGGAGACAAACACCCAGTTAGCAAAGGACATGAAGAGGTGGCGAAACCCCTCAGCTGTGGTAGGTCAGAGGCTGAGGATGGATATTCATCCATGGACTGTGCAGGAAAATCTTGAAACTCCAGGAAAATTCTTGATCCAGTCTTTCCCTGAGCACTTTTGACAAGCACAGTCATGCAGCATCAACTTGAAATGCTGAGGGTCCCTATGAAACAAAGGTCCCCTGATCACTGACCCACGGTAGGTCTCACCACACTCCCTACTGCTAGTGCTAGCCCTGGGGGGTGTCACTGTCCTGGTCACCTGGCTGAATAGATGCTGCTGGTGGGCCACGGGCATGGGATGTCACACTGGGGCCAGGGAGAGCCTAATTCCCAACACGGCATGCCTGCTGCTGCTTTCACCAGCTTGGCAGGAAAATAATGCTGTAGATAAGGTTTTCATAGATGGCAGCAGCATGGCATCATGGACACTTGTTGAGCTGTCAAAGCTCTGTGTTTGTCTCATTTTGCCATGCCATCAGATTGCCTTGCCATCAGAGCACAAAGAGGCCTGAAGAGGCCCTAAAATCAGAGTGCTGGGAGATGAGGGGTGAGGTTGCTCCTTGGGGCCTACAGAAAATCCAAGCAATGGTCAAACAGCAGGTAAAAGCAAAGAGATGCTGCAGGCTTTGGCTGCCCAATAGCCAAGCCACTGGTCTCAGAAGAAGTGGCCATGTTAACCGCTGTCAGATGAAAAACCCACAAAAGGTGGGATGTCACTGCCCTGCCTGTTTCTGCAGGCATCCAGAAGGGATATATGGACACCAGGCCACGTAAAGGGCTCTTCCTAGAATCCTTGGCCATGGGGAGCAGCAGGACTCTCACTTGTTTTCCCCACTCCCCGAACACTCCCCTGGCAATCGACAGCCAAAGAATGTGCACCTCCACGTAAAAAAGATTAAAAGCTGGGTGTGTGCTTGTCATTACCTCCACCCGGAGGGGGGTTGACTGATGGTGCACTGCATGTAATCTGAGCGGCTGTAATGTGTTTTGCACAGCTAGGGTGTAAGCAAGTCATTCAGCACACATAAAACAAGACTCCGATGTAATCACCATAAAAACATGCCTGCTGGCAGTTCCCCGGAGATTTACTGGGGTACATTTCCAGAGAGACGTTTGCATAGGTCGAAGGGGGTGGGAATTGGGTTTGCAGTCCTCCCACCGTCCCTGCCTCAAGCTGTGTGTAACTGCTCCATGCTGTTTGCAGAGTACATTCCACACCAGCAAAAGAGCAAAAGAAGAGCAGAGATCAACTTTTATCCATCAGCCACAGCACCAGACACACAAGAGGCCAGAGCATCTCCACCACTGGCTTGAGGGGCCACCTCCTCTCGAGGAGGAGCTCGTTCTGTCTCTGTGGGCTGGTCTACTGTTGGTTTCTCTGTTGAAAGGGCTAACAAAAACAGGAGCCAATTATAAGGGTGTTGCTTCTTCTGAGGATACAAGTCAGCAGGGAACAGGATGAAGACCATCAGGTTACTCAGTGGAGGCCATCAAGCCTACAGACGGTAATGGTTTTCTCTCCTAGCCTCTTTGAGCTGGCCTTGGAAAGGAAGCCATCTTCTCTTCCAGTTCTTGCTTCCTCCCTTCTGCCTCTGCTGCTGTCAGTGTCTTTAATTCAGGCATTACTCTTCCACCTGTCCCTCCCTTCCCATCAAAACAACCATGACTCTCATTTGTAAACATGTTCTAATTTTTTGCAGAAGGAAAAGGATCAGGAAAAAGACAGAAATCCCCACCTACCGACCCGGTCCCATCTGTACCTGATTTCTTGCACAGGCTCAGGGCTGACCTCAATGCTTTCTCCAAAGAACACAGGGTACATTCGAGGCCTCATCTCTGGCACGGATGGGTTCAGGAGCAGGTAAGGCATCTGCAGGGAAGAAGAGCACAGCAAGTGTTGGGACATAACAGATGAAGTTGGCATGGTTCCCAATGTGCTGTGGCTGGGAGCTGAGCAGGCAGCACTGGCAGGAGACATTAATGGCTCCAACCTTGCTGAACTCCATCTCCTCAGAGTCCCGTGGGAGATGCTGCAGGTGACAGGGTCTCTGGCCACAGAACAGGTGGTGGCAGCAGCATCAGGACCAGCTTTGTTCGATGCAAGCTACGCTCGCCTTGCCCTCTCAGCATCATTCAGCTCCCCCTTGCAGTCCCCATCTTTTCCAGGTTTGTAGCAGGGCCCCAGGTTAGCAGCGTGTTCACCACACCACAGAAAGCACTCTTCTCCATGCAGAAAACTCAAAGGGGAGGACCACTGTCACATTGCCAAAAAACAGCCTTACGGTGGTTGGCAGAGAACGGGACCATTAACCCCCATCCTCACACAGAGAAGCCTCGTACAGGCCTTGCATTTAAGATGTCTTGACCTTCTGATCTGTGGCTGTATCAATTTACAGACTGACCTCCAGCTCCCAGGGCTGACGTGATGCAGCGGGCTGCCCTTCGCTCACCACCACTCCCTGCTCCTCTCCACCTCCCCCTGCCCAGCACATCACCCAGGTGAGTGACTCTGCCCACGTCTTGGGCACTCCATGCTGCTAAATTTGTTGAAATTTAGCCTTTCCTTTCCTTCTTCCTTTCTTGTTTCTCACAGGAACTGCAATTGTTTGGGGGTTTTCTTTAGTCCTGATGCTGCCCTCACTATTATGAATTAAGAAGTCTTAGAGAGACTCAAAGGGCACCAACATGTAGAAGTGTTCTGATAGAACACAGAGGTAGGGCCTAAATCTGCTGACTTAAAGGATGGAGGTCTACTTAAGTGAGATGTGTATATATTTTTTATATACATATAAGATGAAAATAAAGTATCCCTTGCAATGGCCCAGCGGGGGAAATGGTAGACTTGCTGTTGCTAAAGTCCCCGTGCCAAAAATGTCTGTCATGTTCCAAGGGACATTCTAGTTAACCATGCACAATGGAGTGTGGGGCACACTGTGGCCTCTGCAATGCAGGAAGAGAGTTTCAAGCCATGAGTTTATAATGAACGGAGCTGCTCTAATTCAGGACACCGAAAACTGGATTTTTAAGACTAATTATACCCTGAGGTTATTTACTCTGACAAACTGTCACAGTCCAGCCTAGGCTCCTCTGCCCATCACAAAAATGAGTAATCCCACTTCTACCCGAGGGCTCTTAAACATCAGTTCCCACATATAGGGATCCTGTGTCTGGTGTTTGGACCAAGCCCAGCAACTAATTAAGCCTAATCCTGCCCTCCTGGAAAAATGTCATTGCAGGTTTTGGTTTCTGCCACCACTTTTCTGTCAGCAGCAATTTATGACTCACAGGGACACAGGATCTCTTTAAAGGAGATGGCTGGCAGCCTCTGCAGGGTTGAAAGGTCTCGAGATGGCTGAAAAGCTCATGGAGTTTTTCCACTTCCCACCACTCACAGGCCGTATGCGCTAGAATCACAGCTATGTTTCACCAGTGTCAGTCAGATCATCTCACAACTCACAGAATCCACTGACAGTAGCTGAGGATACAGCTCTCGTACTGGCTTGCTCTTCCCATGTCAATCCTTTCCACCTTCCCCAGCATCTTCTGGTTGGGTGGTACAGGAGGGAACAGCAGAGCTGGGACCTGGTTCCTACTGGCAGCACTGGGTAGGACATACTGCAGCTTGTGCCCTACCCTGTACAACATGCAGGTCCCCAAATGCTCACCAGGTTATCCCTCAAGTTGGTGTTAACCAGCAAAGCTCTGTTGAGTCCACTCAACAACACCCGCTCCCACTAGCTGAGGTCTGGTTTTCTCTAGTGGCTTGGGCTTTCTGCCTTGGGCTAAGGCAAAAAACATCATTGCTTCATCTGAATTCACCAAGCCCTTCAATTCTGTGTCCTAACGCCACAAAGCTGTTTTCGCTTCCCATACTGAAATATCCCTGCACTTTACTACTGCGTTCAACGGCCAACCTCTATTTTTGATTATTTCTGGTCCATCGTCAAAAAAGAACAGTATTTGTATAGTTATGGGGGGAAAAAAAAAAAGAAAAGAAAAAAGAGATATGTTCACCCTCACTACCAAACACTGGCCAAAAGGCAAAGTTCATTCCTGGACTACTTTCAACACTCTTGACAGGGGAGGGCAAGGGCAGCCTTTCTGGTCGTAAATAAAGCTCTTTGCTTCTGAAATGTGAATTGTTTAGATCAGACAGGCCTTAGTTCACAAGGGTGCAAATCTCCAGCTTTTAACAGTCTGCACATGGCCAGAGCTCTTTCTAAAGACATCTTATACATGAGGAGAGGTTCATTTGGGTGCAGGAGTCAAACATCTTGTGCACATGCATTCATGGGCTCTGCAAAGAGCAGGCAGGCTGGCCTTTTGGGGATTCACCTGCAAAGAGATGCAGATTGCTTTAACTGGTGAAGGAAGAAAGGCTGGGGATACATGTTCCTCCTTCAGAAGACTGTTTTCTTTCTCTTTATACTCCTGTGGCCATACCTGACATTGGCAAAACTCCAGCTGAGAACCTGCCCTCTTTTTACACTGTGTCCACTTAAGAGAGAAGTCTTGTCCAAAAGGCCCCAAACTGGCCTCCACTTGCAGATGAGGTTAGAAAATTATCATCTCTGATCCTCCCTTTGAAAAGCTCAGCTCAGAATGGTGTTTCCAACTTCCCAGATGAAACACTGCATTTGCACAGGGCAGAACGTTGGGCCTTGTCCTGTAACATGAAGAGCAGACCTAAAGGTATGGAAAATATTTGAATGTCCTGTTTTTGCCATGAACCATGACTCTCAGCACGAAATGGAGCTGACATAAGTGGTTTTATATTGCATACTGAAGACAATGCGGCTGACCAGGGTGCAGGTTTGCAACAGGCTCTGAACGGAAAGCCCCTGCCCTTGAACTACCACTGCCTCTTCCAGCATCACTCAGATTTTTTTCAGAGGGCATCCACCCAAGCCCAGGCCCAGATCTACCCTCCTTCATGTGATCTGACAGCCTAAGAAAGTGCATCTGGAGTGCTCTGCACACCCTGCTCTCTTCCATGCGCTGCCTTTGGGGAGCCTTTGAGATGCCCACCATGGCTGGCAAGGGGCAATAGTTCTCTTTGAGTGTAACCAGCAAGTTCGTGGTTTGCTGTTTCCCATAATAGGTAAAATAAGTCACAGCCACCAAAGAGTTTCACACTCTGGTATCAATCACCCCAAAAGTGGAGAGGCTGAACAGAACTGTCTTCTGTCCAGGCTTCTAAACAACAGGTGTTTTCAGGTCATGCTGCCAAAACTGATTGCAGACTTAGATAACCAGAAAAAAGGTTGGGAAGCACTGATCTGAGCCACACAGGTACCTCAATATTGTCTTACTGCAAGTTTAGCCTCTGGGAATATCTTCTTCTACTGGCCAGGGACAAGTGAAGATGGGGTAAAATGGAACAGTTGTGAATTAAGCTGCTTTTCAGATCCAGACTGGGTTGCTAGAATGCCCAACAACAAATTCACATGCATGGTAACCATGAGCTTCTTTGTTAGATTAACGCAGGAGAAATCCAGATCTCTTAACAGTTCTGCAAAGGGCATCTGTAAAATGCAGGTTAGAAGAATCCATTTCAGTGCTTCCAGGTAAACAAACCTTCACACTTCTCGCTAACATACGGTGACACTAAGTGTGCTCTAAACATCCCTAGAGACGAGGATGCAGGAGGCAAGGTCCTTCCTGTGGCTTAGCAGGAACGTTGCTGGGGCATGTGGCCCCCAGCATTTGTAGAGCAACAGGCTTCACAGCCTGTTGTGTGCTGCTCGGAGTGTGAGCATTGAGGAAACACTGTCTGTTGAAATCACAAGTCCCACAGCAGGGAACAGGAAACAAGAACATGCTGCAGAAACAATACCAGTGCGCATGCAGGAGGCTCTGTCATGCATGACTGCAATCAATCAGAGTCAAAAAGTTGCCCCAGAATTTGGTGAGAGCAGGACAAAGTCTTCTCCCAGTTCATTCTGGATGGAGTGGTGATGACACTATTTCCACTGTGCGCTATAGTTTACCTTGCTCTGGGCAGGGAAGGGTGACAAAAGGCATTTCATAATGCATTTCATATGCTGCAAATAAGCATCAACTTGAGAACTGAAGGTCTGGCTTGATTATTTGAGAAAGCTGAAGCAGTCGCAGACATTGGCAAGCCAAAGCCAGCAACTTCCACACGCATCAGACACTGTTACAAATTCACAGGTAGTATTGTGAGCTGCTGCAGGTCAGAAACCTTGAAGTCACCCGAAAGAATGCACATGGAAGACGTAAATAACTTACAAAGCATGGTCTAAAAATAGAGATCACCTGTAAGACCCTGCAGTCTGCTCACCAAACAAGCAACTGAATTGCTTGCACAGAATGAAAGGGTCACTAAAAAGTAAGCACAGTTTTTACATAGCCAGCAACTGAAAGATGCTTCAGGTGACATTTTGTTTCACCTCCAGTGATGTTCTGAAATGTCTGCTCTTGCATCTCACCTGGAGTTGGGAAGCAAGGAACAGGAGACATGAGCTTTCCAAAAGATTTGTCTGTGGGGCTAAAATGTTATATGCTTCTCACGTGTCAAAAGCTGGCTTTTTGGCAAGAGTTTGACACCAGCTCCTTACAATCTGACTTAAGGTAAAGACAAACCAGAACAAAAATGTTCTGCCCGTCAAAGACTCATTATTTTTTTTTTCCTTCTGCACAGGAATGGTTGAAAGAAGAGGAACACTGGACTGCTGAGCTCCCTTGAGAAAACTATGATCCTTGGCTCATTTCTAGCAATCACTCGGCCATCTCCAAACGCTTCACAAATAAGGTGAGTTCCGTTATTGCCCTGCACTGCAGATGGGCTGGCAGGGAGCAGAGCTTGTTGCAAACTACTGGGGGTCACTGATGGTGAAGGAGAGAAACCCACACATCTTTAGTTGAGGTCTATCCATAGTTGAGGGTTGAGGTCTGTCTATCCAAAGAACAAGCCCAAGGGTTGCTGTGCTGGAAGGCTACAGCTCGGACCTGATTAATCTGTCCCCAGTAATTGAACTGTGCTGGTACTTAGAACAGGCAGCTCTGCAAAAGCCACCACAACTCCCTAATCTTTATGCAGGGAGAGGAGTCTGGCAGTCTAGGAAGGTTGAAGAGGCAAAAGAAAAGATACTGGAGAGATCAAAAAGTAAACCCCATGCATACACATTATGCCCTCAAAACACAGCCAAGGTGAAAATTAACTAGTAAATGTGCTATCACTTTTATTTCCTTTCCAGTACATAATTTGTTTCAACCAGCAAAGAGTTACAACGTTATTAAAAGTTGGAAGTGCTTTCTTGTTTGGCTGCATTTTTCCCTCTGTCTTAACTCCAATGCCTTTCAGGCATGTAACGGCCTGGGCAGCTAAACTCTGATTTTTTTCAAGTAGCACATAGATAAACACAGATAAAATTGCTTGCTGAACAGGATTTGATCTACAGCTAACCAACAGCATTTCCTTTATGGTGGCAGAAGTATTATGGGGGGCTCTCAATTTAGGACAGACACATGTCCTTCAGCTCCATGTCATTGCTTTGTACCTGCCACGAGTGCCATCTCAGTGACTGGTTCCTGGGGGTATTAGGTCACAGAGTTCTGAACAACAGCAAAAATAATACAGTGGACAGAATAATGCTATTTCACCCCTAATAATTATGT